AAATTTAAGTGGAAGGTACAAGCTAGGTGCAGCATGATGATGAAATCTCGCTTAATTTTGCATGGAGACTCCATGCTAAATTTCGGCATTTAGCATTTGCTAGCTGCTTCATGCTTACAGGCTCTTGGGTGTGATCACATTTATTAATTACAGAGATGGTGGCGAAGAATGTTGCGGTTTTCCTTTGAGAAAGAATTGTGATTATGATTGCGATAGGAAACTCTATATATAGTCCTCCTCCTAAGCCTTGTGCGCATCCAAGTGATACACGCAAATTCCTGTATATGATGTAAATAATGCTCAACCTGCACTTATATTGCGCCTCGAAGGGATTTGTCTAGTTTTCGAAGTACAGTCAAGTTGTCGAATCAATAGTCTTCAATTTGTAGATACCCCCAAAGTGTTTCCTAATAAAGCATGAGGTTAGCCATTGAAACCTTACATTATCACAGTAACAGAGAAAGAATCCATACCAAAACAACAAGCCCCACCCCATCATCTTCGTGAAAGCATCTCAACCTTGCTTGCCATCAGTCAGAGCATGCCCAGTGTGTGAACTATATTGTATCCAGACACCGTCCCCTCTGCATACGGTCTTTGAGGCGGCGAAGCACATTAAGATACTTGCTCAACTCCGGTACTTGGTCCGATTTGCACCTGCCCAAGCACCAGAGTTGAGCAACTCTTAGGGTGTTAACGGAAGTATAGTAGGCTTGATAGCTGAAACTGCATTCGGAAATCAGTTTGTGCACAATGGAGAAATCTCGACGAAGGATACACCTACGATTTTCAAGAGCGATCCAGAAAATGCAGCACGGGACCAATAGAAACTTGTATAGTAGGCTTGATAGCTGTTTAGTCATTTCACAATGCCGAGATTGAAGAATGATATGTCATTTCCCGGGAACCACGTCGATCGTTTGGATGCTGGACGATTGAATCGACGTGATTCACAGGGAATGAGGTGCCGCTGAGAGGGTCTGTGACCATTGTGTTGAGTAGTAGCGTGCTGATGGAGGCATGAAGACTTGTATAGTAGGCTTGATAGTTGATATTTGTATACTGAGTCCGTTGCTGGTGAAAGCGAACTTGGACCTGACAATGAAGAGGCAGGTAGGTGGTGGAGGGTTTGAGGAACAGAAAACTTTGATGGTAAGAATCTAGTATTTGTGTATAAATTCATTGAGATGTAATGTGAGCCTGGTTTCTCATTTCGTTTCGATTGTAATATGTGCTTGTTAACAATGTATTGTTCTTTATTCTACCTACCTATGTATGGTCAAAACAAAGCTAGGGCTCGGCCTTCGGGCTCGGAGAGACTTCTGAATCCCGAGATCAGGATTTTAAATCTAGCAAGATTGGATGAAGACTACTATCAGGTCTTTGGTTGGGGGAAAGTGAATTATGAGAAGTTATGCCATTGTGATGCTGAAATAAGAGACATCTCAATATCTACCTGGTATCTATGTCTTCAACTTTCTTTATGTTTGTCCAGACAGTTGATGAATATTCTATTTGAAAGAAGGGTTCTTTATATTTATGAAGCTGTTCCAATTTGAATGTTTTACACGAGTCTCTCACAAATTAGATTTCATAGATTCACAAAAAACGATCAGGAAATTTGCCTATAAATTTGTCTAATTCTTGAACCATTTTGAGCAACGTAACTTGAGAATAAGAATCCTAGCACACTCTTTATCATTAAGTACTCACATCAAGCCAATGTTTTAGACAACAGAGTTTAGTGCTAGTGATCTCTGACATGTAGAACCTTCCATCACTCCAGAACAGTCAAGTCATTGAGACAGCTCTATGATAATTTTATGCTTATGCAGTGACCTTAAATTTATCTACAGACTGAAGCTTCATAGATAGCAACCATGAGTTAAAATTAATCCCAAATAGTCCCGAGCAGATACAGCCAAGAGCTGAGGCTTATGATCAGATACACTCAAGTCAAGATGCAGATGTAATAATATCGATCTCCCTCCCATAAAAATATCTTGGAAGTGGGGCAATATCCAACATAGAAATGATCAAGGGCTGGGTATATAGATTCAAAATCTCAAGAATCCCTCAATAGTAGGCTTGATAGCTGGTTAACTCGAACTATCACGCCCACTATATTGTTTTTGCTCGTTCTGATTTTTGGATCGGTTTTATATGATTTTTGGTTCCTTGGGCAGATGAGATCTTTAGAAGGCTGCCGTTTGTTTTTGAGGATTTGTGTGATTCTTGTTGCGTCTACTTTAGGAAAAAAGGAATGAGCATGCCACCGTTCTGCTATGTAACAGGTTACTTTCACTGCGCTAGAAATGATCATTCTACCAGTAAGATTTACTTAAAAAACAACCACCCGGATTGTAAGATATAGAGATGGATGACCTCGAAAGATTCAAGTTTGAGTGCCCATTGTGATATAATTCTTTGCTCACAGATCCAAGGTCTCCAGCATTCCAAGAAGTAGAGCACAACATCATAAGATGCATGTCGTCTTCTAGCAACTATTTTCATAAGCAATAGTCTTAGGCTAGAGCTTGCCTGCATTTTTCACTCTTCACGTTTCACACGAACTTGCTGCCTTTCATTTTTTCGAATAGTTATTTAGGCCGCATATAGCAAGTATGCTGCGTGAAAATCAATACATTCGTTATGGCTATTAGGATAGAATGTTAGAGCTAAAAAGATCTAGTTCTCAGTGTGAGATAAGGCCAATCTCTCATCAACATTCAATGCTACCTCTACAATAGCTTCACGTTCCTTTTGAACCTCCTTCACAGTTTTACTGAGCGATTCTACCAAATCAGAGAGATCAAAAGATACATACATATCTCTATTTGATAATTTGGCACAAAGGTCTTGTAGATAAATGAGTGGACGCGATTGTCTTGGTGCATTCCAACCTGTATTGCATCTAGGCACCACATGCACGCTTTCTCATTCGGGTGATTTCCCAAGTTTAATCTTTGGGTCAATTCATGTAAATTAAAGAGAGCACAAGATACGGCATCGTGTCCGTCTCTAACCTTGAAGGCTGATAGTGAACACTGATGATAGAGAGGTATAACTCCTCTGTATAAAGCTCATGGTAAGAACGAAAAAAAAGGGGCATCAACGTGTCTCGTACTTCAACGATCAATGGCCTATTATTTATAGATTGAACAAATAAACTCCATGTTGATACTTTTCAGATCTTGTTTTTAATCTTACATCTTGGATCTTATTCACGACTCTACCCGATAGAGAGAATATTCGACTGTTTTCTAGGCAATGTATGATATTGGATAGCGAAATTCTTGTGTACTATTGCCACAGTGCTCCGTGACCTCGAGTGCCATTTGTTCTGCTTACGAAGCATGATTCGCGTGTTTTAGATCTAGCTTTCTGATCAAACGAAAGAGGTACCCCTAGACTGAAAATCGTTGACAATATGCCCCTGGACAAGAGATCACATCCGCCATCACGTCCCGGCCTTAGAAATAGAATGGAGGAAGATTACATGCACATCTCAGCTCGTTGAAATCTTACCAATGATTGTGATAACTAGCAGCTGGCCGTCTGGCTTGATCTCCTATCCACTCTGTCCTCTCCTCCATGGTCATATATTTAAGAGCCTCCACCCATGTAATGTCATTTGTCCTACACTTCCAAGACGTACCTTTACCTTTTTTCACAGCTGATAAAGGCATGCCAAGATAGTTATAGTCGTAAGCATGTAGGAGGGCCCGATCCCTCTTATCTAGTCTTGCGTACACAACTTCCCACCACCATGGATTCCACTTGTCCCTTCTGATTCTACGAAAGCCCACGAAGACTCCCAGTAACACGCTTGTGAATTTCTCATTCTGATGAGGGCCCGCCACATTTCGTGTTCCCGGGAACCGATACTTGGCGTCTAGAGATCCGTGTGTGGTGATAAACCAACCTTGATGTTGTGGATTCATCCCTATGCTGTATACAGGAGAAGGGCCATTAGTTTGACGGACTTGCCGTCTGCTGTTTCACTCCATTACATCAGGATAGACGGTATTGTTATTGTCTTCGAAAAAGGATGTTAGAAAATTAGGCTTTTCCTTCACCGCGTCAACATAGTCCTGCCACTTCTGTGGGTATGGAAAAAAGTCGAAATGTCCCACGTCCGTTCGTGGCTCACGACCTTCTCTTTGCCATTGTTTAGACATCCACCTTCATTGAGGGTTTGCGTTAGCTCTATTATCCCACTGAGGGCCCTACTTAGACTTGTGTACAAGGCCTAGCTGCTTTTTCTTCTCTTCGTATGGTTTTATTGGGTTTGCCATCTCGAGCGATATAATTCAAGTTTTGATCGAGGTGTAGATTTTTCCAGCTCGCAGTTTGCTCATAAATAGCGATTCTACAAAATGGCCATGAGAACAAAGCACTTTGCGATAAAGGAATTTTAAGAGGAGATTGTATGCTTTGGGAATCGCTCAACTATAAGCGATTCTGGGAAAGATTGTACAATGTATACCATGGCATGTAATTTAGTAATACAAGTAAGGATATCAGAAAAGTGAAGCATGAATATTGTTGAAATCGTTGGTGAAATGGATGGCTGAATGTAAATGATAATTAGACCTGCAAGTGAACCTGTATCAAGAGGATGACTGCACTCGCGAAGTAATCTCGAGCATCTACATTTGTGTTAGTACTGCTGTATTCTCTAACTTTACTGTTTTATGTAGGCTGTTCTGATGTGTTGACATTGCTTATGTAATCATCATTGTCTCTAACTGCCGCCTCTGGGGATTGTACCATAATTACCAGCAGCCATCGATTAATCAATAATGTGAGTACGGATGACCTGGTTACATCGGAGCGATGCGGAAGTAACATTGGTCATTCTGCATGCTGTCGTCACTCTACAAGGTTTTTCCATTTACGAGTATCTCTGACTAAGTATTGCTTTTCGTTCCCTCCTCTTTCATATCTCACTCCCCTCGTTGTGATTTATATCGCGGATATCAAGACTCAAGATCGAAATGTCGTATCCACCCGTCCCTCTTCCAAATGGTAAAGCTCACCATCCAGGTTAGCATCCTTAACTAACATAAAGTAGGCCAAAACTTTACAGCCACTCTGCACAGCACCACATACCCCGCAATTGACTCCGCGACGAAGTCCGACCATAGCAAACACATAGTCTTCATAACAGGCGCTTCGAAAGGTGTCGGCAGAGCTACAGCTATATCATTTGCGAAAGCTGGGGCTGAAGGGATTGCTATCGGTGCAAGATCGGATCTCTCCTCACTCGAGACAGAAATTCAAGAGGCAGCACAGGCGGCAGGAAAGACCCCACCAAAAGTCTTGTTGATTAAGCTTGACTTACTCAATCACCAGAGTGTTAAAGACGCAGTCCAGGAGGTTGAGAGGACTCTCGGAAGATTAGATATCTTGATCAATAATGCGGGATATCTAGCCGCCAGTCAATCAATAATTGACTCAGACCATGATGACTGGTGGCAGACATTTGAAGTCAACATACGTGGGGTTTATTGGATGACTCGTGGGTTTCTTCCCTTGATGCTAAAGGGTGGACTCAAGACAATCATCAATGTAGCCAGTACTGGAGCAAATTCGTTGCGACCCGGAGCTAGCGGATACCATACCTCGAAGTTCGCATTGTTGAGATTGACAGAATTCACAATGACAGAGTATGCAGAACAAGGATTACTGGCATATTGCGTACATCCTGGCGCAGTTAATACAGATATGGCTAAGAAATTACCAGAATATCTTCACAAAGGTAGATTGCATTTCCATAGTTGATAAAGTGCTAAATGATTGAAGGTTGCTCGCTAACTTTTGAAAATAGTCTTGAGAGATGATCCGGCAGTTGCGGGTGATTCGATGTGCTTTTTATCTCAAGAAAGAAGAGAATGGTTAGCTGGCAGGTACATAAATTGCACCTGGGATATTCCAGAGTTTCTGAGCAAAGAACAAGATATCGTGGAAAACGACAAGTTGAAGGAGAGAATGTTATTCTAGACAAAATACCTATATGTAGTGACACTCTTCGATCAATCATACTTGACGGACAGTTCTTAGCATCTGTTAAAGTTGTGATACCTCGGCATCTCGAGCTAGTATACTAGAATCATTTCTTGAAATCTGCTAATAAAAGCACGTACTATGCACTTAACAACTAGGGAAGGTAATCCGATATCAATTGTTTGTCAATCCCTTGCATGATCTCACATTGTTTGTTCCCGGATTACTTAATCCAGCGTTCCGGCTAAGAATGCGGAGAAAGACTAAAAGGTGGGCCGTGGGGGGAAGCACATTTACCCCAAGTTCTGGACGTCTAAAATAGACCACTAACGCCTTGTGCCACTCCTGTGACTCTGTTTTTGAAGTTCTAGATGATTTGTTGAGCCTGTTGTCATTAATTACCCCGCTTCGGATTAGAAGCATTGGCTCGTGGAGCGTCAACCCACAAAGAACCATGATTATACCACTGGTGTAGATTCAAGTGGCTTCGTTATGGCCTTTCCCCCGCGGAGGTGATATCGATCGCTAGATTCCCCAGCCATTCATGGACCCGAGATGCTTGGTGATTCACTAAACAAGCATTAGCTCCTACGATTGTCTAACAAGCGTTGTTTTAGACAGGCTTACATATAGTTGTCTTCAATCATTGAGCTTCTAATTCTCTAGGCTGTGCAGCTGAATCACACAATATACAGTTACACGCCCTTCTCTTCTTAACTATCAATCAAACCCAAAGCTGCGGGAGTCATGTCTACCCTTCGAAATGTTTCACGTGTCTCAATCAGACATCTCCGATCCCATCCTCGTCCTCTCACACGTACCTTCTCTGTCCTCCCACATCTCTCAAGTCCGCCATCTCAAACACGTCAACCACCGCCTGCGCCAGATGCAGAAAGTGCAGCACTCAAGAGTGGCCAGCCGTCGACATATCTAGGGACTAAGAAACGTCTGCCCGAATTCAACTTGGTCGATAAAGTGGTATGTGTTTCCGGGGCTGGCAGAGGATTAGGATTGGTACAGGCAGAAGCCTTATTGGAGGCCGGTGCTAAAGGTATGTAGTTTCGATTACAGCTCGAGAACAAATCTAGACTGAATTATTACATCTAACGAAATAATATAGTATATGCCCTTGACCGTCTCGAAACCCCCTCTCCTGATTTCGATCGCATTGCACAGCGCGCGAAGGAAGAACTCGGTACATCGCTTTCATACCGCCGCATCGACGTACGAGATGTCGAGGGTCTGAATTCTATAATTGAGGAGATAGCTCAGAAAGAAGGACGAATGGATGGCCTAATAGCAGCAGCTGGAATCCAACAAGAAACTCCAGCTCTGGAATACTCGGCTAAGGATGTCGATCTAATGATGAGTGTTAACGTAACCGGTGTTTTTATGACAGCACAGGCAGTCGCAAAACAAATGGTGAAATTTGGTAACGGGGGAAGTATAGTGCTTATTGCCAGTATGAGTGGAACTGTTGCCAATCGAGTTCGTTTTGCCCTTTCCCTCTTCGGCTTAATATCAATACTAACTAGTGATCTTTAGGGTCTCATATGCCCCGCTTACAACGCATCGAAGTCCGCAGTTCTACAACTTGCACGAAATTTGGCTAGTGAATGGGGCGAACATAGTATTCGGGTCAACACCATTTCTCCAGGATATATAGTGACAGCTATGGTGGAGGAGCTCTTCAAGAAATTCCCAGAGAGAAGAACGGACTGGCCAAAACAGAATATGTTGGGCAGATTGAGTGCTCCTGAGGAATACAGAGGGGCGGCGGTGTTTTTGGTTAGCGATGCTAGTAGCTTCATGACTGGTATGTTACTTTTAAATCATGGCTCCACTTTTAGGACGAATTTCTGACTATATATTACAGGCGCGGATCTGAGGATGGATGGGGGACATTCGAGTTGGTAGACGTGTTTTGGAATTTGACAATACTGTGATTAGCACGTGGAGCAGGGAATTTTGAAATGAGCGTTTTAGCGTTGTATCGATCTACAAATGTTATATACATAGTGCCAAGTTCTCATCCCCAGTCAAACCAATTATGCCATGTAAAGTTGTCTATTCTGTACTTTTGAGTTGATAAAAAGAATAAAAGGGTATCGAAATGGTAAACTTCTTGAAGAGCCAGAAGACTTTTGTGATATTGTTTTGTTAATTTTTTGTTATATCTTTGGTCATAGGGCTTCTCAGCTGGTTGGATGTTGAGTTGCACATTCTAACCACTGTACCAGCTAATCACAATGTTGTTTGGACGTAGAAATGATTATATAGGACAGTCTTAGGGCGGGGTATGATTATATTGGAGAGGGATTCACTGTTTGATCGGGGGTAGATTGACGTACGGCCGAAATGGGGTTTAGTTAGCTGTGGTAAGACGGTATGCTTTGTTGTATATGGGATGATAAGCCATGAATATTAGAATATGAGCAGTATTAGCATGGCATGTATACTCTCTAAACCTCTGAATCGCTGAACCCCTCAGACTTTATTCTCAATAATCTTCCATCGCACTTAATTTTATCCAGGCATAAGAAACAGATATACAAACAATCTATATCCTCTTTATCATTGTTCAACTACCCCAAACCCCCCATAATATAGTCAATACCCACACATCTCGGTTTCCACAAATCCGTCTCGTCAATCCCCCATCCCGGTCTTCCGGGTCGATACCCACCTGGTCCATGCTCTCCTCTACCAGGAGGCCGATGATATCCATCATCAGACCCAGGTCTATCTCCATACCGGTGTTCAGGCGGCGGGTGTCGAATCGGTCCATTGCCTCTCCCTAACATCGGCCACATGGGAATATAACATTTTTCATCTGCAGCGCATTTATTCTCACAGCTTGCCCATTCACCGGCCCAGCCGAGCCAGGCTTTTAGTTCTTGTACACCGTGGATCCAGCGGATAATTTCTTTTTGATTTTCAGGGGCTAGAATGGATGTGTCTTTTGAGTTTGGGGAAGGTTGGTTGAATGTGGTGTTCCAGATATTTTCGACGGAAAATCCAACGTCGATTAGGATGTTGCAGATTCCGGCTTGGGTTTCTTCGATGGCCCATTTGAGGGAGTTTTCTTCGGGTGATAGATAGATACCCAAGGAAGGGGAAAGAAGTCGCGTGTGGTGGTAGTGACAGCGGGAATAGGTTGTTTGGAAGAGAGTGGAGTCTCGTTTCCAAATTGAAGGGGCTTCTTTAGGAGAAGGATATTCGAGGAAAGGGAGAAGCAATGAATGAGTCTGGTCCCGAATAGACGTCATCCACCTTTTCTCTGCTGTTTTGTTGGATGGCGGAACTGATGAACAACTTTGGAGGGTTTGAAGAAGTTGAGCTAGCGGTGAAGCGTAGGTTTGAACGATTCCATTGGTCATGGTTGTCCAGTCAATACCGGTACAGTTCGAAGACTGACCGAGGAAATTCTTGAGAACTCTTTCTGAGTCTACTTTCATTATTGCTGCTTCGTCTGTACTGATATCATCTAAAGTATGGGACCTTCTCCTTCGCATCAAAGCGTTCAACGCAGTCATTCTTGCATTTTCGTCCTCCAGGCCAGCTTTCCAGAACCCTTCACTTGTTAAATTCAATTTTTCCCTTTCTACCAAACCTCGCGCCTTTGCTTGGCTCTTGAATTTGGGAGAGTAATAGTTCAGAATTCCACATGTGAGCAGTTTGACTCTGTTTTCGCCAAGTCCTGCTCCTTCTCCAGAAGATCCGTAATGAGTAGCAGCGCTTGTGAACCAACCCCAGCCTTGACTTCGAAGGAATGGTTCTCTCTCAGAATCATGTCTGAAGTTTGGTGGCATAGCAGGATGGTTTTCAGTGGGGTTCTTTGTATATGTAGATTGCGGCGACCGAGTCGTTATAGATGGCAGTGGAAGATAGGATGTGAGATCCGCTTCTTCCTTTTCATACATATCTTCTGGTGCGTTTGGGGGAAGTAAAGAGGCTGTAACATTCAAGTGCTCCACTAATCTTAGGGTTTCGCTCTCGAAATCACACCAGATCATCTCGAAGCCAGCATTCATTCTCACAAATCCTTCAACTCCCCAACCTCTTCCGCCGAGACCTCTTTCGTGCACCCAGGAGCAGAGGCCTCTTGCCCTATCATACTCTTGTACTAAGCCTGGTCCAAAGTGCCCATTAGGATCTGGGCCAGTTACATTGCCGTAGATGTGGAGCATTTGTGTATCCATTCGACCTGTCCCCATGAGTGTAGCGGATTCCCCGTCAAAATAGACGCATTTTGCTGTGCGAGTGGTTTGGAATGTAAGAAGATGAGAATCTCTGGTAGAACCCATAATCCCATAGGCCATTTCACTGAAGCATGATTAGCAAATAGTCTAATCTGACATCACTCGTCTTTAGCGAGTTTAGAGCAGAGCGTATGATCATGAATGTAACCGCCAGAAGCTATTCAGATTGCTGAGCTAGCTGAAGAAAGAACCTTTCATTGGCATTGCAGAGCTTGCAATTTTCAATTCAATCCGGAAATCATTCATGAAATGACATCTTTCGGAGCTTTTTGGGGGGGGGGGGATTAGTTCCTTTAGACACCGCATTCACAGGTTAAGATTATAAGCTCACCGGAACACCAATTTGGCATTTGTTCAGGAGGAAAGGGTTGCTAAATGAAGAAAACAAACATTGAAACATACTCACATATCAAAAGAAACCCATTCTGGACTTTCAGGTAGAGATTCGCCATCTCTACGACCATGATACACTTTTGTGAGAGGAGGTATCTCACACGGAACAATACTATGCCCACTTGGAAAGAATGTATTTGGCCATTGTTGAAGAAGTCCGTAAACTGATGCAAAATAATGAGGTGCTGATGAAGAAAAGTTCAATTTCCATTCCGAACTATGGGATTTGATAGACTCCAAAGATTGAAACATAGGGTATTGAAGTTCAGCAAACGCTGTAACAGAATGAAGGATAGTTATACAAAAGACAGAAACATAGCATAGTACAAACATTATTTCGAAATCGATGAATTGCCACTACGAACTATACACAGTGGAAAAGAAAGAAATTGAAGATGCATTTTGAAGAATTCACTTGAAGATGTAAATATAATTCATGCCGCGTAAGCACTGTTGAAGCGTTCGTTGCAGTCGAAGATAAGGAGTCTTACCGCCAATCACAACCTTAACCTTGCGATTCAGGCTTGAAGTTTAGGCTAGCTTCCCCAGCAATCATTGAAGCTCATCAATGCATCATCAAGCTTCATCGACTATTCATTTTCACCAATAACGTTGCCACCAACTTTTATCCCCTTAAACAATTTGACGTACTGAAAATATGGGAGCTTCGCAATCCAAAAATCTAGCAAAAGCTTCTAAAGCAGCCTCTTTATCAGCTTCAAATACTGCACGCAAATACCCAACTCGAACTCCGCCGCCCTCATCTCCCCGCACAAATGTAGAACCAAGTCAACCAAGCCCTTCCGCAAAACTGGGGCCAACTGTTCACCCAGAGGCAAGCTCCTCATCTACAAAGAACCAATGTTTGTTATCTTCTATCAATGACTTTTGGCCCTTCAATTGAGAGTCTTGGACTAGGAATCCACCTGCTAATGTAATATTTTATAGCAATAAGTTTTGATGCATCCGATCCAGATATTGGTCTCAATTCTCGCCTTCGTGAATTAGGTCCTGTTACACCTTCACCTACTCTCTCCAATTCATCTACATTCAACCGAGCCTCAGCGCAAGATCCCATCACATCCGGCAACAATTTTATCCCTTCTGCTTCCACACCTTCGCAGTCGATATTTCCAACCGCAAACAATCCTGCGGTTTCCCTTCTGGCGGCGAGATCTAGAATAGCAGAAGAAGCAGAGAGGGACTTCGAGAAAATTGGCAGGAAGGGATTCCAGGGAAGGAAATATCTGGACGTTGCGACTATTCGAACAGTACTGGTTTACAGGTCTGAGGGCATGCCTGATTCCGAAATTGAGGAGAGATTAGAACTTAGACGTGGCATTGTAAAGAGTCTGGGAGGTAATGTGGTGAGTGTGGCAGGCGTATGATCCGAGGGAACGAGGGAAATCGAATGCTTATATCGAATTCCAAAAACAAGCCTACGGTGGCGATATAATTTCAGCCACATTTTAGGCATTATAACCTGTCTTCGAGTCTTCTATCATATACTTCAATTAGATACGAAGTCATTGGCCATGCCAATAGTGTACAGTATAATGAATTATGAAAGGGCTGGTGAGAAGGAATGGGCGATATTCTAAACGGTGTATTAGCCACTGCAGGCAGAGATATTGTATTATATGTCACCAAAGAATATTGCCTATTAAAGGACGGCAAGGCTCTGTGAAAGCACCAAGAATAATTGCTAGAAGAAAGCTATGAGTTATGTGCTATGTGCTTTGATACCCATGAAAAGGCTGCCATTACCAATACTTGGGCAAATCATCACACAGGATTCGGCCTCGACATGTCTTCATATAGAATATTGGCTAGGCATATTTCTTGACTTTTGTGGCCTCGTGCTCTTGCGAAGTCCAAAATGAACTGCTTGTGAATAATAGGGGGTTACAATACAAGCAATATAATAAATTCCATTCTTACAATCCATGTCACAAGCAGATTGCGGGGCATATTTTTGAAGCTATTCTGCCGGGCGGTGTGAGACCTAGACAATCGTCAAGATTACTATCTGGGGATAAATTCAAAGCACTTTCTAGTGAATAATTCCATTGAAGAACATTGCATTTAATATCAAAAGTCTTCTGGTATTTTGATCTCTTAACTATGCATGAAATATGTCCATCTGCTCTCCATATATGAATACTCACTCAAAATAAGCACCATCTAATTGGTCGATCACTTTCATGCCGAAAATTGCTCGGTAACTTCCGAGAAATCATGCAACTTTATATCCTCACATCATTGCAACTCTTATCAAGAGCTTTTGAAGCTCGACAATCACCCTCGCAATGATTGTCCGGTCTCCTATATTTGCTGGTGCTTTACGGCAAAATGGATTGGGGAATGTATGCCTTTCATGCTCCTTGCGAACGGAATTGAGAGGGATTCGAAGACCTGGGAGGAATTTCTCGAATTCAAATGGTAGGAGAACAACAATAGTGCAAAGATTGGGGACTGGTTATTTCTTTGCAAACAGAGATATCTTCGGGAATGCAGGAAAGGGTGGTGTGAGTACTTCCGTGGATGCACCCAGCAGGAAAGACGTAGATGGGGCAAAAGAAAGCATCGAGAATGGATCTACCATACCGGCCACTGCAGAATTAGAAAACCTGCCACCCCATCGACGAAGGCGGCATAAACAATCACTCGAACAGCAAGGTGATAAAGAATTCCTTCCTGAGAATGCTTCCACCATCCATGCCGACCGCGCGAGCGCACTTCCACAATCTTCCATAAAACGACTATTATCAGTCCTCTTGTCACTCACCAAACCTCGCCTTTCTATGCTCGTCGTTCTTACCGCATGCTCAGCCTATACATTATACCCAGTACCTTCACTTTTATCCTCGACACTTCTTGAAACACCCAGTTTGAGCCCCCTTACCCTTCTCTTCCTTACGACCGGTACGGCCCTATGCGCCGCTTCCGCAAACACCCTCAACATGCTTTATGAACCTAAATACGACGCGCAAATGTCACGAACACGAAATAGACCTCTTGTTCGAAAACTCATCTCGCCGGGTGGGGCTTTACTTTTCGCAATTGCGAGTGGAGTTGTTGGGGTAGGAGGTTTATATTATGGAGTCAATCCCACCACTGCATTTTTGGGTGCTTTGAATATTGGGCTATATGCTGGTGTTTATACGCCATTGAAAAGAGTTACAGTGTTTAATACTTGGGTCGGTGCAATAGTTGGAGGTATTCCTCCATTGATGGGATGGACTGCTGCGGCTGGACAAACTTCCTCACATCTTTCTTCTTCCTCAACGCCTGAATGGCAGGATTTACTACTTGGACCAGATAGTGCGGGAGGTTGGTTACTAGCAGGATTGCTATTTGCATGGCAACTTTCGCATTTCATGCCTTTATCCTGGTCTATTCGTGAAGAATACAAAGGCGCCGGATATAGAATGCTATGTTGGGTAAATCCTGCCATGAATGGTCGCGTGGCTCTTAGATATAGTATTGCATGCATACCCCTATGCATCGGACTTTGCTATGCGAATGTAACTGAATGGACATTCGCGGCAGCTAGTATGCCTGTAAATGCATGGTTGGTGCGAGAGGCCTACAGGTTTTGGAAATACGAGGGCCAAAAAGGAAGCGCGAAAAAGTTGTTTTGGGCAAGTGTTTGGCATTTACCAGTCGTACTTGTCTTGGCAATGGTGGAGAAGAAGGGATTGTGGAGTAGAATTTTATCGGTGATTTTTGGACAGAGAACAGAAGATGATGAGGAGTGGGAATATGTGGACGAGGATGAGCATGAGGAAATACCTGTGCAGAAATTGCCTGTCCCAGTAGTCGCCTCGGCAAATTCGAGTAGATAAATTGTGCGGAAGAAAGATTTGTATCTTGATAGTGATTCTTCTATCCATCTCTACTTTTATATTTTGTGTGTACGATATTTTCGCGTGTGGTTTTGTAGATCCGAACCTACCAGCGGGCGTGCAATGTTAGAAATATCACTATGTTTTTGAGATCGTGTCTCTTAATCATGAGATACATGTGTACCCAAACATTCCCTTCCTGGCATATAGTCCTCCATCTCCTTTTCTTCCTTCTACCAATAACACGATGTTTACCTCTCAAGAGTTAAGCCTACCTATTTCTCATCTACACTTTCTATCACCGCCTTGTTGTACATTTGCGTTTCGACACGGGGCGCAGATATGGAACTAGTCCCGGAACCTAGTTTCAAGATCTAGCGTATTATATCATAATGGCGGCTACTGACTGGCATTCAGCGAGATGTTGCAGTGCGGTTAATACTGCTTTTTGAGAAAGGGAAGGATAGAGATTGATAGGGTAGAGGCACAAAGAGTGGCAGAAGAGCGAACAGTCCAAGTAGCAGCGCAAGGAGGTTATCAAGGAGGTTATCAAGGAGGATACGAAGGAGGCAATCAAAGAAACTATCAAGGAGGTAATCGGGGAAGCTATCAAGACTCCCATCGAAGGGATCATCGAAGCGTCCGTCGAGGACGCAATCGCTGATTAGTATCCTGTGTTATAGAAGATACAAAATGTTGAGGCTGGAGTGGCAGTGAGCTCTTTTACCGTTTCATTTTGTGCAGTTGGGCTGGATTTATGCGTTGGACTTTCGTAGAGGGTATAGACATTTAATCATCCGCCCGGTTAGTCTGGAGCGTCGAGTAAAAAATGCAAACCTCTTATACATTTTCATCAGGTTATCTAATGTGCAATGTATTGCAGTACGTAGGAATGTAAATTTCGATATCTAGTTACACTTGTAACTGCCTCCATTCATATCGATCTTCTGTCCATCGTAAAGGTGGAGATGTACCTCTATGCTACTCTATCTAGTCACCGCGATTTCTTATCCAATTGGGTGTCTAGACTTTGCTATAATCATGCTAGAGTGTGTGGTTCCTTTCTACCCCATCTGTGTGTTTGGCCTTTGGTCCACGAATCGCAAGTGCCGGAATTATATCAGACCCCACGTTCATACTCTGCATAGCATGTATTGTTCTATATAACGAACTCCTACCATTCGGCGAAAGAGTGGAAGAAGGTCTACGGCTGAATTTCTCTTCGACGTAGAAATGACTCTTTCGGCAGAGAGGAAAGTCATTAAGTTGAAGACATAGAGCTGACTCCCTTTTGAATAAACTACAATGAGTAATCTTCTTGAAGGTTTTTAAGTGACTCCAAAAGGACAGAATCCAAGTGACTCTCTCCTGGTGGTTTTTTATGACTGTGTAAACCTAGTATCTTCGACACAAAAGCGTTTAGTTTTCTCTTGTGGAAGTTTCTAACCTTCGATCTTTAACACTGTCCACCAAGTCAAGTCTTCAAACCTTCGATTATTCGACAGTTTGAAAAAAACGATACGTCTCATCAATATCATAATATTCCCTTCGATGGCTCGCTGCCTCCACAGTTTTAAGAAATTCTAGATCCCTGTAGTTGCTACGGACCTGTGAGTTGACTCGACCGTCATCATCATTGGCATCATCACCATTTCATTGAATTCGAAAGACATCCACATCTACCCACGCCTGACGTACAGTAAGACTTCACAGAAATTTTGCCAGAATATTGAACCCCTGTCAGCTAACGACACTTATAGATCACCATTTTAATTTGATTGTTCCTCAAGAAATAAATTCGAAATGTGCCAGTTGTACATAAAGCGAGGATATTGCTGGTGTAGCGGAAACAACGGCAACTATGTTGACTTGGAGAGGACAAAATTCATTTGCAATGATGTAAGTAACAGATACATTTGTAAGAAGAAAACAGGAGAAGGTGATGTCACTCACGACTACTGGAGATGTAGTGTGTGCTGGGGAATGAGCCCGGATCAACAGAGGAGAGTACAGGAAGCCGAAGCACAGGCAAAAGCCGGATGGATCTGATATTCTAGTGAAGGACAAAATGTTATGAGAGGATCAGTGGTGAGTCGGGTCCTATTTTTGTTGTCGGTTTCTCTGGTTTGCATTGGATTTTCAAGGGATTATTTGTTCTGTTCCCCGCCTAATTAGAGCGTCGAGGATTCAGAACAAGTTCAAGTTCCTTACATATGGATATGCGTTGGATTTTCGTAAAAGTTGTAGGACCCCTCTCTCCCACCTGGAGCGTTGGGTAGATGAATATGAACATTTTACATATCTTGGTCATGTGCCTAGAAAGAGATATGCGTCCAGTCCCTTACAATCTATGTGAATGTTCCGATGCCTGGTAGTACTCATATTGGCTCCGTCTATATCAATATTCGACGTACCAAGCCACAGAGATGCATATTATACCCTCACGCGATATGTATTCCGAGTGCGCCCTATCGTGGATGATAAATTATAAGTCTCAATTCCAGAATCTGCGACAAGCTTCCGAGTTCAGAGAGGCTTCTAGTCAAATTAAGGTTATTAAATTGATGGTATCTATTGTGAGCCAGAACAGTCATGACTAGCCTTTGATTCATGCGATACATCACACTTCTTACCGAGATTGAGTAAGAGGGTGAATATCGCATCTAGTACAGTAATGATTCTTTTTGAATAACAGGTGTAGTCTTTTTGTCGAAAAATAGGCATGACTCCTCGAGAAGAATTGCAATGGAGTGACTGTATGGGCATAGCAAAATGCGCACAAAAATCCTCGAGTCCCACTTCTGTGTATCGAAATCTTATCCTCAGACCTGTGGCATAGTTCCAGAGCTTCAAATTGACTTTCTCACATCTCAAGAATCAAAACGACAAGACGTTGCATCAAAACCAGGTTATCTTTGTTGAATACCCTGCTGCATCGTATTTACGAATAACTCTCATTTTCCTGATATAATTCACAGCTTCTTATCGTCGTTTCAGCACCTTGTCATTAATAAGTCCTCAAGATTCCTATTCCCATCCATATCAAACTTACGGTGAGATTCCACATCTTTGTTTATACGCTTTTCAATTGTATACTGATCAAAAACTACTAGTACCATCCTCGAAACTCAGCGTCTCTCCCCTGTCCAAGATGTGCCCCATCGAAGTGAGATAGGAACGCTGTTATTGCAACGGAAAACGTGGTGCTCTTGTGTTTGTGAAGAATGCTTTTGTCGAGTGTCCAGATGTTTAGAACAGACGGTCACATAATCTGGCACTGATGCCAGTGAAGACGATAAATAAATTCGACTCGTATTGTCCAGGGTGTCATAATTCACAGACAATTGCAACAGCGAGAGAGGTAGATGAAACAGAGGTATTTGAGGCTGCTATAATTCTTCAAAATATAAGCGAAAGGCGTGGATAATGACAAAACGTTGATGGCAGATTGGTGGTGAGATGGTTTACCATCTTGATGTTTCTTTTTTTTGGTTTGCGTTGAACTTTGTAGAAGAGTTTAGTTGTTGCATCCTCCAGCTAGTCAATAGAGCGTTGAGCCTCAAAATGAATACCAATCTTCTACACACTTTTGTCGTACCTGAATTCGACGCCCAGTCACAATCGTGATTTTCTTCATTATATTATCATAAACCCAGTCAGATCATCGAATCATATCATTCCCACACTCATAGATATACATGCATACCGCAAGTCCACAGATTCATGAACATACATTAAATGCTTCAAAACGACAACAATTTCTATCAGTGGAAGTCTGCTTCTTTACCATCTTGATAATCCGCATCCACAAAGTCCTCTTTGTCTTTCAATAAGACTCACATCCTCAATAAGGGCGACAATCTCTCATTTTTACCCCTCATCAACATCACCATCCCTCGACGAATCCTCGAAACACCCACCCAAACTGCAACCGTAGACCTCACTCGAAGTATCTCCGCACAAATATTAACCACCAATAAACCAACTTTACCTACACACCCCCTCAAAATTCCAGTCCTCTCTCACTATTCTCCAAAACATGTGTACTCAGTACAAATACACAGGACCTTGCTGGTGCAACGAAAGAACTGGCCAAGCTAAGGTCATCGAATCAATAAACCAACATTGCTCTCAAAAACCTCCAAGAGTTCGGTGCCCAAGCTTTAAGACGAAGATTTATGGCATCAAATGTCCTAACTGCATTCATGAAGCAGCAGCCGCTGCTGCTGCTGAAGTTCAAGCCGAAGCTGAAGCCGCTCGAATCCTTTGGGGCATGCGGGATGGAAGTAGGTAAATAGAAGGTGACGGGAAGGTGGGGGAAGAAAATCTTTGGCTACTATCTCTTCTGTTATATTTTCGTTGGACTTTTGTGGAAGGGCTTAGTTATTTCATTCTCCGCTTAATGACTAGAGCGTTGAGTTAACATGAATATAAACATTTTACACATCTTAATGATCATCGAACAAGTTCAAATGACGCATGAAAATTAACTTATCTATCCTCGGTTTCTTATTTTGCTAATCCGTCTCGTTATGAATTCATCTTTTCCATACTTGCAAAGTACCACGTCAATATTCAGAACTACCCGGAACTTGTAGGTAAGTAGCTTATCGCTACTTCATTTCAATTGTGCGCACTATGGTTCTAAGGAGTTTCGAATCCGAGACCGAAAACAAAAGAGTGAATATATATGCAAACACCTACCACGTACTCGAATGATCACCAGGCCGAGATTATTGAGAATGAATTCCGCCCATCTCTTTGGGGAATATCGGGTCAAACGCGTGGCTGACTCTTCAAAAATCTCTCTTCAGACTGATCATTCTGTACAGGTGACTTATACATACAAAATGATCATCACTGGCAAAGTGTTCCTGAAGGTAAATTTGGATACCAGGACTGTGTTCAATACTTGTTCCCAGGTCAAGAAGAATCATCGCAGAGACAGTCCAGTCTGTCTCTCACACAGATCACAATGAATCAACTAGCAGAAATGAAAAGACGCAAAGCAAATTTATCGAATGTAAATCGTATATTCATATATTCATCTCTCCTATATACTTCCCTAATTATCCATCCATCCTATAGGATCTAAATTGTAACCACAAATCCGAATACTGATATAAATATCATCCTCCCATATATCATAGCTCATCTGCATTTATGTACTCATAATCCATCGCACTTTTTCGAGCCTTTTGAACGATTCTTTGCCACCCATTATCTACAACCATCATCAAGCTATTCCAAACGCATCGAAACCCGCAGTACTCTTCGCCCGAAATCTTGCTTAAGATCTCATCGAATTGACTAACAATGCATAGCTCATCGAGATTCGAAACAACAAAATCGATTGCCTCAAAATTTTCGTAAGAGATCGACAGACCACTTCAGCTAACATTCGCGCAAATTCCGAAATTTCCACGTAGGAAAACGGAAGACGACCGACCAAAACTTTTGGATAAAGATACAAGTGCGAAGAAAAGACGAAAGCATACTTTCTTGTACGCTTGAGGAATAACTCTCAGCTCCGAACCGACACTGAAACAACTCCCATCATTACTATCATCTCTTAAATACGTCTCATCAATCCCTTCTTTCCCTTCATCTCTCTTCTAGACTTGGCCTTCTTTTGTCCATCTCTCTTAACATAGATAACCTCGTTGTTAGGATCGACCTCCTCACCACCAAACTCACTTCCTGGTCCGAAATCAGGTTCGCCTCCCAAACTACCGAATATATCTCCGATGTAGTTGGTAGGAGTCACACCTTCAGCGAAAGTTGAGTTCCAGCCATCGAGAAGTCCCTTGATAACTTCGGTACCAGCGAGATAGATGTTCTCAACAGCCGGTTCAAAAGCACCTTGGTTGGAGTACAAGAGGTTGAACTCGACAGAGGCACCGGGGTATGGACGATCGAAATCAGAGGCTGTGCGCATAATGATAATACGGGAGAAATCGACGATCTTGAAGAGAGCGGCACGCAAAAGAGCAGAAAGGGTGGCGTTATCTTCTTGAGCGGTCATGCAGTAAACTCCCGAACCGTTGGTGAGCAATGTTGTGGTGTTTTCGAATGCTTCTCCGAGGAGTGTACCAGAGTAGTACACATCGGAAGTTGCAGTATCACACGTGATGACAGTAGGAGCGTGGGTTGCTGCTTGATATTTGTTGACAGCTGCTGTGGAGTTGTCTGTTGCATAAAATGCACGGTAGGCGATGGATTCGGATGAATCGTTCAAAGACGCCTTTTTCGCGAATCCTACGGCCAAATCACGGAGTGGCTCGTTGACTTCGAATACTTCGGTTCCGTAGATGTTACCAGGGTATTGATCTGGAGCATATGAACCTTGGGGGAAATATCCGGTGGTGAAGTTATCGGGCTTTTCTCTTGCGTCGAATTCATATTGAAGAGCAACTTGGATAGTGTATTTTGAGAATGCGACATCGCCAATGCTACCGTGCTTTGGGTTAATACCAGCGATTCCACCAACGAGGAAGTAAGTCGAAGAGAGATCGAAAGCGGGAGAGAGAGTCAAAGCGGTGATGGTTGAAGCTGCGTTGATTTCAGATTCACCAGTGGTGAGTTGACACACGGATCCATCGGCAAGACAATGGGCTTGTGGGAAGAGAGGGGAGAATCCGGGCACGGTGATGTTTTTCGCGAGGAGATTACCGATTGAGCCGGAGGTGAAGGAGTTTTCATACCAAATGTCTGCTTCAGGCGAGAACTAAAAACAAGTCAGATGACGTGTGCAAATTGAACATAATTATCGTATCTCTTCGAACGAAAGTTGTACGAAAATTCTGGAATTAAGAACCGTCAAGATGACGCGAGGAGATTCTTACCATGGAAATGATGAAAACCTTAGGTTTAACCACGCTAGATGTCGAATTGGTGATATCCAACTTAACATCCAAACCATCAGCCTGAACACTGAAATGGATATCCTTTTTGTCTAATTTAGTTTTTGGAAGTCCATATGGTTTAGTGGTTGCAGCAGCAGCCACAGATCCTACACCAGCCAAAAGGCTAAGGAGAGCAGAAGTACGCATGTTGTCGAGAGGGTATGATATGATCTATCGGGGGACTTGTGTGGGTTCTGCGGGGAGTAGCGGGGGATGAGTAGGAGAGAAGCACAAGAGAGAAGATCTTGGAATAAGAGAACTCGAGGATCTATCTAATACTCAAGAAGAGGAAGGAAGAGTGTGAGAGAAGCTATAGAAGAGATAGAGAAAGAGGTAAGAAAAAAATCATCTGAAGTCGAGGTTCTGGAAGCTTAATATATTCCGTGGTACCTGCAGTGAATTGTTAATCAAAGCAAAGAATGCATGTAAATGACCCATATCCCCACAAATCTCCTCGAAAACATGTTAATCACACGCTTCGGATATTCACGCATCTGTTCCTGGTTTTGAGGCTTTATCCAATAAACTTTCTCATTCCATTGAGAATACTTGACCGATTTGACGGGGGAGCTGATCTTTGACCTTCCTTGCAGATACTAGAGAGGGGAGCTGGATTAGTCTAGCTCGTCTGGATATTATGGATATTGGTATGGGTTTGGAGTACCAAAATTATCCCACAACACACCAAACGATATCCAAGATAGCAAATAATAATAATAATAAATCAATCAAATCTGTCTCGCTACCCAAATCCTCTTTCCAAAAATCAATTCAACTCCGATATCGTTACCAGGATTCATAATATCAAGAAATACAGAATTCGAGCCTTATCGCAATGCATGCAAACCCGCCGCTAATACCTACGGAGTACATCCTGTAGGCTGTATGTAACCATAATGTATGCAAATAAACCTTGGAATTTCCTTGGGAATCTCACCGTCATCATCCATTTCAACACGAACGTCTTCAATCTCTATTCTCCTCGTTACATTTACGGGATATTCTCCGTAGGAGTTCGCCAACTGAAGCCTTGGCGTGATACCAGACCGATTGATAAATCCGGGGGGTGATTGTTGTTGTACGGATAGCCAACACAAACAGGCAGAAACCATTGTCATTTTCATCTTGTCAATGTGATTGTCACGGTATCTATCGTATATCTATCGATAAGAGAACTCCCGCCAAGTTCGATGACAAAAGTGGACGTTACTCATTGCCGCATCTAATTAACCAGCTAAACTTCGGCTCACTAGTCTTCTAGTACATTTCTTGTTCCTAGATCCATCGATACGGGAACTAACATATCATTTCCTCTTATAGAATAGAAAAGTTAAAGAAGAAGAAATTTTTACAACTCAAATACTGAGGTCTCATTGAGTCACTATGCAGTATGTGATGTAAACAAATGACAACAGTAAACAATTGATATTCTCGGCTCCCTTACTTCAATTCTCAATCATCTAATCCATATCAATCAATTGATAAACCCATTCTATCACCATCTTGGCGAAATTCTTAGATCAATTCGTAGCGATATAAACAATCTTGATACCGCTCGTAGGATAATCCTCGGTGAGCTCCGTAAGTCCCCGTTCATCCCATCCAAACAGCGCCGCAAAAGATAAGCTCAACCATACCCCCCATGTCATCATCCACACCTCCACTTGAAGAACTCAATCTCAATTATGAACCCAGTATATATCTTCTACCTTCCTTTTTAGTACTAAATGTCACCGACGACATTCAATTCATGTCAAGAAAATCATCCGATTCCGAACCATGTTTCTATCCTGGAGATTTTGTATTTCTACCAGTTACGAACGGTGGGAGTGGGAGAGAGATTGGCTTTTTGTTCCAATTCTGATTCGTTAGTTGTGCTATACTCTCGATTTCTCAACATCCTTCTCGGATTCCAGTCTACTTTGAGGCTCATGCCAAGTGCACGGGAAAATAGTCATATACTTGTGATAAGAAAGTTTAACCAAGACGTATGACAGATCCTGTAATAATCATTGGGAAAAAATACCAGATCTGAACGATCGGAAATTCCTCGTGGTATCCGATTGAGACATTCTCGCATTGAATTGAATGGAATGCCTATTCCTTCCCGAGACCAATCAATCAATATCAATAAATTATTAATATGGATTCGATTTGTATACAGTATCACATTGGAAAAAGTTAAATCTATTCCATGGAAAATCAATCATACATACAGTCATAATAAATCTCTTCTGTTCTCTTGAATTTAATAAATTACGATCATGATGGCGAAAAAGCAACAGCTCATCACGAGCTTGACCACCTTCGATCATTGTGAATTTTCCCAATTGTTCTCCCTCTGACGCTAAGCATCATATCAAGATTCTCTGAGATGTCTTGAAATTCAATAGCAAAACTAGTTCTCCGTGTCCGGCACCTTCCTAGTTTCCCAGTCAACCTACAGGCGGAATTCATCGGTACAAACCGACAAGAAGTGGAGACTCATGTGCCGAGGAGGCGCGTAGATTCTCTTATCACGCCTCGCAACACCATTATCGCGATATTTGACGACGGAATCATGATAATGTCACGAAAACGCTAGGTGAGGACAATACAATTATAATTACGATGGCGGGTGCCTCGGGCGTCTGTATGCTCCTGAAGTACGTATCTACCTAATCTCCTCACCATCGGGTTCGACAACTAAAGTCGTGCCGAGGCGAAGTGAGTGTGAAAGTAGGTATCGAATCATGAGAGGAGAGATTGTTAGCTCAGGTGAGACTGGACTCTAGGGGTATTGTCTCATGATTGATCGTGGGCCACCGCAGACCTCTGTGAAGACCTTGATGATACCTCCTTTAGGCATTCTGCTGTTCCAAAATACCAGCTGGAGTTAGATATATCTCTTCTCATCCAGAGATGACGATACATCCATCTACATCCACTAGGATTGACTCGTATGAGAGAACAAAGATTCAAGAATGTTTCGTACCCATCACTTTATCAGGCCGTCCTGATCGCACGCACTTCAAGAATATGAAATGATTAACTGACTCGTAGCTCTTCCAATTTCATTTCGAATCCTCATTGTCACATGCGATTCGTTCCTGATGTAAAGTTGTGCCTTTCTGATCCCATGGCAGCAAAAATAGCAACTGATATTTCAGGAACCTTCGCAACAACGATGTGACAAGTTTTGGCCGATCAGTAGCCAGAAGGACTGAGCCAGCAATCATCTAGTCTGCTGCTGTCATACTATCTAATTTCGCAAGGCAAATCAACCACCTTGTGGGCCATTTATGTTAGTTATCAAAGTCAGTCTCGGGGTCTATCTCTTCGGAAGTTCCAACCACAGGGGAACAATGTCATTAACATTAATCATCAAACGAACTGGCCTGGTGATTCTCAGTTTATGAAAGTTTCAGCCATGGCCTAGGTTCAAAGGCTTAGATAGTTGCAGCACAACTTTATCTTTGGTCACCAATGCTCTTGCATTGCATGAACAATGCTCTTCCTGGGTTGAAACCCCAGGCGTCGATGAATATAGCAGTCGAGAAATGAGTTCTCTCAGATTCAATGAGCTATCATTGATAGAAAACCTTAATCAGGGGCGACACAAGGCATTTTCCGGATTCAGATTAAATAATCCGACTCAACATACGACCAAGGTAATTATCCCATCGTAACGTGGAAGCTTATACCAAATATCATCAGTCTTTTTATAGACTCTGACGCGGCCTGAGCTAAGCATAAGGCTTCTTCGAAGCTCAATTGTTTCAAAGTATCATTTTCATTTCTAGCTGCGGTCATGTAGACCACGTATCTCGTTTTCATCGTCAATGCGTGAATTTCGAATCATTAACAAGAAGTATGGGTGACATCTCACCCACGAGGTTTGGACGGATGCAGGTACACGGCGATGTGTTCGAAAAGGTGTGTGCAAGGGGAAGTTCATACGAGTAGCGACATGCGCCGACCTTGGCGCTAGCCGCGGAGAATTAAGGTCGCAGGTGGTCGGAGGATAGAAGATTATGGGGGCATTTTTGGGCGTTATCGACATCAAATTGCCATCTAAGAGCATTAATTGTGAAGAAATTACATAGGTCCTTGGTAGAATTCAGAGAATAGGATCAAGTAATCCTAATGTGGTGGAAAAGAAACACACCACTTATTGTAATGATGGTAACAACAACATATCTCTACCTCATCTGGGTCACTTCAGAAAGAAGCTCATAATAGCCGTGATACTATGTGTGTCATTTTGAGATGATTGTGATAGTGTGGACCCCACAGAACATTTGTCTTCGTTCAACCCTAGCTGATTGAAATCTAGCATGAATTTGTAGTGATGATATGGAGACATACGTAAACGCGTGAACATACGCTCTCAAGGCCTTTGCTAAGAGGACTTATTGTGTTTGTATGATCATCAATTAGCGCTCCAACTTTCCCAGAGCCATAAGTGCCACAAGAATGACATTCTAGAAAGGAAGCCTGCCTGCAGAGTTCTGATTAACAAATTAGCACAACGCCGTTTTGAGGGCAATAAAAGGAACCAATGCCAGCCCCAGGTCAACGTGGATGATCTGAATCTTTCTGACAAAATTGAACATAATTTTGTGTCACATCATTTCTTCATATCACAAACTTGCAAGCTGGGAATCGTCAAATGCCTTATTAACTTTATCGGGGACGAAACTAAGATGCGTGATTAGTGGCCCGAGAGATGGACCAAGATGAAATTTCCTTTGCAATGAGGATCCAAATTACTTAATTTTGATGCTTCTGTGATTCATCCAATGAAGTAGGGATATTCATTGAGAGTCAAAGTATGGATTATGATGTGGTTCGTTTTATCCAATACTGTCGTGACAAACTTATATATCGATCCTTCGACACATGGAAATAGACAGATGTGTCAGAACTATATGGTGTTAGGGTAGTAAGTCCCATCGAGCTTTGAAATTATAGATGCTAGTGCATGTCATCAGATCTGTAGGCCATTCGAGGGCCCTTCCCGATCCCGCTGGAGATGAGTTGATCCTTTAAATCCAAGGCTCGTTGGATAGGATGAGGTCAAGATTGAGAAATCTTGGAGAAAGATATCCTTGAAAGTTATTCGTAGAAAGTCATATTAAGTGGTCCTTTAATACGAAAAAAAAAGATATCGAGAAAATGACAACCTAAGCCCCAAAAGGGTAAGCATGGTCTGACCTTATGGTCCCTTTCTGATCGGCAATTCTCCCAATGGCTCGACGGTTAATATCCAGAGAGCATGTAGGTATTGCATAACAGGAGAAGGCCCATCATTTTCATGCAACTAATTGTCAATCTCGTTTTTAACAAGGATGTTGATTGGGGCGCAGTTCCGCAGTACATATAAGCAGCTGCATACCCCAACATCGAACTGCGCAAACACCAGATGTTCGTTTCTAGTAGTTAAAATAAGAACCGTACGGCACTCTTGAGGATCAATTGAAATTTATTGAGGGGCACGCACCATGGAAAGTGTCGGAAGGATAATGGCGAGGATCCCAATAGATTTTATTCGGATTATTCATCGCATTTGCTGGTGATTAAATCTTCTCAGAGATTCGTCATGCATGATATAATGTAGATAAAAGTGGTGATGGTGATGTTGGGGTTGTTTGAAATATCACGCACCTGCCATTGCGAAGTGCATGCTAACTATACAAAGAAACATGAAGAAGAAGCCTCCCCGAACCACTTTGAGCAAAGTAAGCATGCTATGCCATCTCGTTGCATTCTATTATGAAGGATATTCGCCCCCAAAACGGATGAAAGTTGAAACACGGGAAAGCGGCGTCTAGAGTAAAACAAATGAGAAAACCTGCGATTGGACACCCAAGAAAACGATTCTGGAAGAGATAAAAACAAACCGCCCAAGATATTATTTGTATGCTAATTATCCAACTGTTGGTGAACCATTCGTAATTGAGCATTTTCAGATGAAACAAATATATGTTATGAATACTTAGTTGAAGAAAACAGTTCTCTCATATACAGATAGCCGCCGCTTGCAACAGTGCAAAAAGACAATGGAGTGCTCTGGTCCATTGAAATGTTTCAATCACATTCTTTGATTTTATACTTATAGATACCGGAACATTAAAATTGTACTGCCGCGCGTGATGATACCATCACCGGACTCTTCCCGAGTATATCCCACAAGTTCAAGGGACGCTTGTCAGTGTGAGGATATTATGTTGGTCTGTGTGAGTCGGAGCCCATGTAAAGAATTGGCACAAGCGTTGGATATTCACCGATAGGGTGAGACAAGAGGAAACCCCAGGTAGAGCGGCTGTTGGCACAGACGACTATCGAATGCATGTGAGAAAGAAGAATATGAAGCAATCTCTTCGTTACTCTCACCGGGGTGTTGCGGTTGTTGAGATTTCTTTATCTTGTTGTGTTGGAAGATAGTAGGTCCGCACTCCACTCAATGTTGGATGTACGGCCTCAGGAAGATTTCTTCTGTGGTCATGGCCATGGCTATGGGGAGGAATATTGAACTTTACGTTGCTTTGAAGATAAACACTGCCTAATGGATTGAGGTCTTCAATGGCCTTTGTCCGGTCGAATTGTTTGTTGTTTGTTGAAGCATAGCAACAGTGCCTGTCAAACTGCATACCGCTTATCGCTATTAGGCGCCCTTGCAGAATCCCTTCTGATCAGACCTGGGATGAAGATATCGAGATTAGATAAACCTAGATGATCTCAGGCATCTGTGAGGACCTCGGATACTTAGGTACTTTGGTAGATTCCCGAGTAGAGAAATCAAGGTGGAGGCATGCTACAAGGGAAGTAAGTTGTAGACAGGGTATAAAGAATAGATGCTTGGATGATAGAAGCCGAGAAGGAGCGGGTAGAGATGGGATGAGTTGATTTCCCATCTGTGCACTTGTGCATATGCATATCGTGTAGATCAGTGTCAGTGCTGTCTTGGAAGCAGAGATCCTAGTAAGTGAAAGAGATTCATCCGAAATATCTTGCATTTCTTAAATTAGTCATCCAATCGCTTTACCAGGCAAACAAGGAATCAAATGGCAATGTTCTTCCTGATTTGAAGCAGGAAGGAAACAGGAAAGGAAGAGGAAGAAGCTCCAACCAAGAGAGGCCCAAAAATCACCACCAATTAGACCTTTTTTCCACGTGATGTCTAAAAGTTCAACTAATTCTATTACGGGATTCTCGTGATACCATTTACGCAGGAGTTACTACCTCGGTAGACGATGTACAGTATCTATCTAGTCTAGACATATCATTTTACACGCGCGCATCAAGTAAACGTCTCTTTTCTTTCTTCTAATTCATACAGTCTTTCAAGTATGTCTTCTTTTCATCTTTACCTACCATTTTCAGCATCTTCAATTCATTACGAAACAGGATCTTTATGATATGTTTCATTATCATCTCATCTACCAAGATCTAACTATCTTTAAAGGCATACTTCAAAATCTCATACACAGCCCTTGTAAATTTAATATACCCTGCACTGACCCTTTTCTGTCACCCCCCTGTACAGATCTCTCCCGTTTGATTCTATTTTCGGTACGCGAACGCCTCATCCGCAGCTTACTTGTTGACGCCCACATAATTTACGCGCCCATCAGATATGTCTCCAAAATTCGAGATGAGACTACCGCCCAATGTCCTTAGAAGGGACCGGTGTTCTTCGGTTGACCAATACAATCATCTCTTGTTCGTAGCCCCTCGAGTTTTGGAGACTTAATAGCCTATCCGCGGCTACTGTAGTTGATCCTGGTAACAGAATTTCGTGCATTTGCCAACGTTTGAAGGCCCAGGAAGTCGGGGTCGGATTTATCAAAATGATATCTAAAATCGGACCCATCTTGTTTCATCATTTAGTTGAGGTCTCATTTTTGGACGTTCAGCGTTAATGAGGCTATAGACACCACCCAAATGGCCCCCAGCGTTATTTGTTCCAACAGATAATCGAGCTGGTCAATTCTGTATTATAAAGGTCGGTCGCCGGTACACTGGCTAAGACCTTTCGTCCTCATTCAGCATCAATATCATCTTTTGGCTTCTACGAATTTCCTATTGTCAACTCGCTTTAGATTTCAATTCTCAATATCTGGTTCCATTCGTTTTCGTGTCAAGTATTTCCTACGTTTCCTGCTGGCTGGTCTGCAAGTTTCTTTTACATCTAATACTTAATTGACTCGTCAATTGTTTCGACCCCTGGTTACTACCAAGTAGTACCAATCTTTCATAAACCCGCCTTTCTAGAATGCCAAAGGAACAGCGTTCATTCAAAGCTATGGATTACTATCGATCACCACCTCTCACCTCGAACAACCTCGTATATCCACCCATCAACTCTCGACCCATGGCCACACCATACTATGAACCACTGCAACATAGCTACCAGAATATGTCCAGCTATGCAACAGGAGGTCCTGTACAACAACCTCCTTTACCACTTCCAACTCAGCATTATGTGCAGAGTACTCCAATGCCACCTTCCATTCGACCTTCATCTGGAGCATGGACACCTATTGATGATCGAACTTTGATAGCAGCACGGAAGCAGGGATTGAATTGGCAACCTATCCAGGCAACTTACTTTCCAAACAAATCGGCCAATGCCTGTCGAAAGCGCCATGAACGTTTGATGGAACGAAAGTCTAGTGATGATTGGGATAATGTCAAATCCGAGACCCTTGCGAAGCATTATATGGATATGCGCAAAGAGATTTGGTCCGGACTGGCTGCCGCTACTGGGGAGAAATGGACTGTTGTGGAGCAAAAGGTATGTATTGAAACGCATATACCTGAGATTTATACTAACATGAAGAAGTGTATGTCAACTGGTCTCAAAAATATGCAAACATCTGCCAGAGCTTATGCTCGCCGCGAACGTATGATGGAAGCTGGAGGACAAACTGGAAATGCACCATACTCGGACCACAATGATTACGAAGTTCACGAAGACAGCGGGATTAGCATCAACCTCGACGGCGATTATGATCGAGATAATGGCTCAGAAGCTTCTACTAATGACCCGCTCAATCAACAACATTACTCATATGCACCACAAGTTCTCTCGGATGGCCGACCGGATGGATATCCACAGACGGACCGTAATGATGGCTACCCACAATCGGATCGCAACGACGGCTACCCACAAACCGACCGAAGTCCATACCACCAAGATAACCGAGCGTCATTTCATTCACGTTTACCTTCTATGGATATGGGCATCGATGCTATTATTAATCAACCATCTGGACTCTAGTGGCTTGACTCTATCCTGTGAATTTAATTTCGAATCGTTTCTATAATCTATTGGAGAAATAAGGGTCGGTACTATGGGCGTCAAATTTCTTAAGCTATCTGGAAAATGATACCAGGCGTAATTGATTTTTTCAGTCATGAGGAGGAAATTTATGAGCTTCCGGCGTTGAAAAGGGGAGTTTTTCAAAATGCACTTCGTCACAAGTGTTTCACACAATCATTTCAAAGTTGGAGTGGATTTCATTTGTTGGTTGGGTTTTGCGACATGAATATGGCCTTTACGTATTTATCTTACCATGTTGTTGGGAATGGAGTAATTGGAAAGGTTTGGGATTTGCATGGTGGAAGTGGACAGGTTTGGTGGACTACTGTATTATTAGACACAGATTAATACCACCAGAAGGCTATTGAGTCTTCATAAGAGATTAAATATAAACACTATTTATCTTGATTTTTTGTTTTCTATTGCTGCATATTGCTTGAACTTCATCAGAAATTAATCTCCTAGTAGAGCTAGCCACCTGTTTAATCTCATTTAATCAAGACGTTCTACATGATCCCAATATTCATGAATATCAAACATTTTGAGATAGACAAGTTTGCTGTAGTTGGCAATCGTCTGATGGTACCTAGGTACATACATTCCTTCTTAATAGCCTCAACCCCACACCTAATCCTCGACCCACGGCCGCGCTACCAAACCTTGATTCAATAACCTTGCTCATTAAATATGAAAGTCTAGAACCAGATTTTGAGGATGCCGAGTAGTGCTCAAAAGTGGGTCTCGTCGTTTGGCTACCATGCGTGCGTTTTACTTCAATTGGAGTTCATGTTTGAGGATATTCAATGAATGACATTTCTCCATCACTTGGAGGTAACATCTTGTGGGTTTCTAAGGAATGACATCACATCAAAATCTATGCTCAGAATATTCTGAGCTTTACCCAGATCCATATATCTCCACGTATCTAAAATGGAGAATTCTCAACATCTCATTGACATATTCAAATCTCATGCCTAATCCCATATGCACGGCATACCATCATCAACTCCTCCAACCAACCAACTCAAATACCACCCCGCTTCCATATCCAACCCAGAATCCGGGTTTGATGCTGGATCCACAGATTCCAATATCGCAATCTCGACATCCATCCTCGCGATCCTTTCGCTTCGAGGATTCCCCACATTTTCACCGAATCGCATCTGTCTACTCGTAAAATATCCATGCTTCGATCTCTTCCTTTCGCTTGTATTCTGGTAGGAATTTAGGATTTTGGATTTTGGATTTTGAAGATGGGGATCGAGCATCGTATATCTAGGTTGGTGATGCCGAGGCTTAATTCGTGTATAAGATGTATGTTTTTTTTCGTTAGGTTACACTGCAGGTGTAAGTACTTCTAGTGCTTTATGATGTTCAATCTTCTGATTGCATATGTCGTGTGTTGTAATGCTTTCGAGAATTGAGTGCAAGCATGAATTGAGTTTGGAAATGGAAAAAGTAGCGAGTGCCGACCATCTTGCCCCTCTTTCTTTTAGCTTTATAAGGTAAGCAATGCAGTGGTTTGAAATCTAGAAGCAATTTGTCGAGAGCAAGTAACTGAGTCATCAAGTGTATTTACGAACCATAAGTCGAACCAAGCAACAGGTCAACGCAGATCAGACCTCTCTTCAATGCCTATCTCGCTAATCTCGCAACTAACAGTTCCAGGAAACGCTAAGAACAACTCCCGGGTAAGATAACATTCGTACCAAATCACTGCGTCTAGCTCACAGATAGGTCCTCACATATCCAACGTAATTATCTGTTAGCTATACCTCCAAGGCGAATACCCATCGCAATGCAAACCATTTCTTCCTCTTGCCCAAACTTCAGCGACAAACATAGCATCTATCCAGTGCCTATATATCTCTCCACAGACAATCCACACATGAAACATAGAGTTGACATCACTCAAGGCACCTCGATAAACAAGCCCTCACAGAAGTTTTCCTCAGTTCCAACCGTACGCACAGATCTATCTAGCCCACCCATGCAACCGACCCATACCCCGCACTGGCGCTTATCCCACCCATTCCTTCCCTCAACCCTAATCTCCCCGAATTTGGATATTCCTCCCTTCTCTTCATTTTCTTTTCATCTCTTATACAGAAGTTATACACGCTTTCTTTCAGCCTCAAGGGCCCACTTTCATCCTGATCTAAGTTTCGGGTTGGTATTTTCACTATGCACTGAGAGGATTGTTTACCCGCACTACCCATCGTAGAATACCTCGATATATACAGCCGGTGTATCTAATTAAGAAGGATGCTATTATTTTTCATGGATAAGTCACCCCATGACAGCATCCAAAGAAAGATGGTCTCGGCAGATGGTTAAACCTTGTCAATACCCACCTTCGAAACAAACATCATCATTCTGGTAAAGATCTTCCCCAAAGAAATTGCATTGCTTGGAGGTTTTCGAAGGCAACAGCCTTTCCTACAATAAGTGGAGTGATAAGGATGACACGGTAGTTGCATACGACAGGCTCCAGGACAGCCATACTTATCTTTCATTCGAAAGTCGTGTGTTAACGAGTCTTCTTCTTGTGGGTTCAGCCATTTTGCCTTAGCTCTAAAGTGCTATCCTATTTTCAATAACTGCTTTATCCCCTCAAGATGCTCGCGTAATGCTTCCAATCCGCCTCTTCGATATTCAGATTGGCCGGAATCCTGCCACCGGAATACCAACTTTAGAATGTCGACCAACTCTTCGCTACTCAGCAAGCCACCCGACACAAAGCTATCTGACCCATTCTCGGGAGGAGAATGTATCCGATATTCGCGCGGCAACCCCATAAGTCTTTTGATCTGTTCGAAAAGGCTTGTAATAATTTGGATGAGAATGGTAGGTAGTCTGAAGGTTTCCGGATTCTGGAAAGTCAGTACTGGGTAAACCAGAATGGACTTTATCTTGTGCTAAAGCGCGTGACTTACGTAGTGGAAAGCTAGAGAGAGAGCTAGAGAAGCTAAGTCCAGGAAGGGTAAAAGGAGAGGGAACGTCACTATCCGAGATCTCCTTCAGAAAATCATGTATGTGTGAGAATAGAACCTCATAAAGCCGCAGTGAGTGCAAATGACATGTAAAAATAAGAAGTGAGAATGCGAAAGCAAGCTCTGATTGCATTTCCGTATTAGAAGTTGACAAAGCGGTGTCTATCGATGGGGTATGACTATTTGTGGGCGAGGATGTGCTATTTTCCTCGGTTCCGGATAGAATGTTTGCATAGTTCTTATGACTCTGTTGAAGACCAGGCCTTATGGCTTTTGATGCAGGATTTGAATTCAGATGAGTACCACTAAACGATTGAGGGGGGCTGACTGAAGGTCGACTAGGAGCGCCTGTCAACAGGCTAAAAATTTACAAGAAATCTCTTGTACTGTTTAAAATGTCGTCCAATATCGTTCTCGGGGACTTCGTCTCATCAATTGGTCGAACTAGCATCTCTACGATTGCAGTTGGGGTGGCCTTTACCAATTCGAGAAAGCAACGAAACAAGATCCAAATTAGTCTTGCCCAACCACTGGACAGTGGTGTCCTCTTCATCCTTATCAATAGATATGCTATCCACAACCTGATCTTCGGAGCTTTCGCAAGAAGTATTGTTTTCAGATATCATGACTAACGTTTTGTGACTGCTGCATTCGAGATCTTGTAGACTAGATGTCGAAGTGGAAGACACCGTTCGGGGTGAAAGTATCAATGATGGCGTAGGTCGAGAGGGAAAATCTCCTGTATATGTTGGTGCTTGTGACAGATAACTCTCAGTCGAGCTAGGTGTATCCGGGTTACCAGGTGAGTCAAAGGTCTCATCCGTTCCATCTGGTAGTATGAGCCCGGAAAATAAAGAATCCTCAGCTGCCCAAGGCATATCACTTAATGTGTTTGAGGTCGAGAAGTCTGCGGGATACATTGGCATAGTTGATGATGATTGAGACGATTCGAATAAATTCATCAGTGCTGTTTGTCCAAGGTGTCCTGAAGGACTTGCTGTATCCGTAACGATAGATGTATTCATCACCGCTTGCTGGGTAGTGACTTGTGGCTGCCTTTGGAGTTGTGCAGCATTATTGTATCGTCGCTTTCGCACTGACTTTTGCACTCTTGCCTTTTCCCCCATGCTTTTTGTAGAGGTTAAAGCAGTGTCACTCATAAAGCTACGTATGCTAGAAACTGGGCTCGCGCGACGTTCGGCATCTGCACGGAAACATCGATCGCAGGTTTGCTGGTCAGCTCGTTCACGAATATATCGCAATTTTTGACCACGGCAACGATCACACGCAAATCTTCGAGGAGAAGCTCCACACGCATTCATATCCATCACTCTTAGAATTTGTGAACAGATTGTTGAAGCCAGAAAGAGAAGATGCGTAGTTCGAATAAAAGGAGAGCCAACTTGAGTTGATTAAGACAAGATGCAGTCATGCGGGATGAAGGCCCGTACTAAATGCCTACGCCACTTAGCAGGGGGCACATCTTACGACTAGACTCGTTGCAAATTTCTGCATGCCTTTAAAGCTTTTATGTCGCTCGTTCTTTCTTGGAAATTCGAACACAGGATAGACTTTTATACAAGTGGAATTATACACAATATAACCCAACACTCTTGTCTATGTTAATTACACAATCCATTATTCACTGCTTGATAGCTGGAATTGCCTTCATTCTCGGAATCTAGTTGCCACCAGTGTTGGCAACCTTCTTCCAACAGTTGGGATTACAGGATCATCTATCCAATTGTTTGTGACTTATGCGGCACAGTTGAAACATCATGTGCTTACAATCGACTGGATATCACATGACCATTCGGCACTATATGCCCTCACCCTCATTGTAGTATTCAGTGGAATTTGATACAGGCATACATTGGACACAAAGAATTTTCTAACCTTTCAGATCTACAGATCGAGTGTAGGTTATGATTGGTCTTCTTGCTGCCTCGGGAGTTTCTGTGTGCTACAGTATAAGCACAGTTGACGGTAGACACTAAGACCGAGTTCCTTATGCTTGAATTGGCTATTTGCTAGTAGGGCTATTCTTGCAAACGTACGAGAATTGGGACCTCAGTAGCTTTCAGCCGCCGCCATATCCAGGGATCAGCCTTTAATAGACCAGCGCAGAGCGGCGAATGATTCTAGTAGCTGTTTAACAAAATGGTTTTGGATAGTAAAACAACTCAGTGCATAGTTCAAAGCTCAGAGATATATTGCGATGGTCTAGTTGCTTGCAACAGTACCAGACGCTGGATTCGCAGAGAAACATTCGTTTGCCGGATAAACGATGCAATTCTTTCCAGGCGTTACCAAACACGAAAAACACCGCTGATTGGGGAATCACTCAATCAAAAAATATTAAATGTTTTCTGCATGGCTGCATCCATTCATCATCGACATAATCTACATGTAACTAATTTCGGCCGCACCATATCTTGCCCATGTTTTCATTGTCAATATTATTTCGACAGTAACAGATAGAATCAAACGTATGAGCGGAGTTCATGACCTACCAGGTATACAATGAAGTATTTCCAAGCGAGTCCCGTGCGCCATACGTCAAAATCCCAGGTTCATCGCGCAACTGGCTGACCCGAACTCGCTTGAGAAGCCTCTACGATCCGTATCACAACTAGCTAGATCATTCCCCGGTTGAGAAACTACAGTGACTGCGATCGGAGTTCCGAAGAAAATGATGATATACCAGATGTAGTGAATCGACACCGAACATCGAGTAACGATTAATTTCGGCGGCGAGATCAGATGAGGAAAATAGTATGTCGGGCAACCAACGTCAAGTAGTTGATCAATAGTATATCAATACCATTTCTCTCGCTTACGAGCTCACGACTAGTATTTATAGAAAAGAGGGTTTAGCTTCTTCACCTAATTCGCTTTGGTGAGATAATTTTGTTATACTAGCTAGTAGCACTCATCTTCACATCACAAAAGTGAATAACCCATGGCGATTCCTAACTGTATAGATATATCCCGTGCGAACTTGCGACTATGCCTCTCAATATCTGTCGTAAACGTATGTCAATTTTCCCATTTGATCGTAACCTGACACAATCTCACTAATAATACACTGTTGGTTATTCCTCTATTCGCTTACTCTTGACATCTACAATGTACACTTCCATCTACTTTCCAAATACCCAGGGCCCAAGCTAGCGGCTGTCTCTAATGTTTGGTACGCATATAATTGGCAAGATACTGATCCTTTGGTAGCAGGCGTCAGAAGACTTCCTAGCAAACTCAAGGCCTATCAAGAAATGGCCATGGAAGATCGAAGAGGTGTTGAAATATTATGATGGGGAAAACAAATTCATAGTTTCTTCTCTTTGATCTACCTGTTGATTGTACGTAGGCGACGTTGTACGTATTGCCCCAAATGAGCTTGTATTTCTCACACCCCAAGCAGGAAAAGGTGAACATCAACGCCTCTGATCGCAACAATAGCAGCCAGCTAACGTAGAATCCCCAGATATACACGCAATACAAGTTAAAAATCTCGAAACATTTGTCAAAACAGACTTCGAAAATCTAGGAGAAGATGGAGAAATTTCCTTCGAGATCGATCTCATCAAGCACCGCGACCTAGCCAGAAACTTTCTCCCGCATTCAGCGCTAGAAATACTAAAGCTAAGGAAGAGGTCTTGCATAGTGAGATATGTTGACGTCTTTGTTGATAGGATGAAAGCGACGGGAGGTGAGAAGGGTGTGGAGCTGCGCCAGTGGGCAGATCGCTGACTATGGATGTCTCTGCGGATATGACATATAATCGTCAGATGAACCAGATGAAAGATGGTGGGCAGTGTTTTCACCCTCTATACTCTCTTGTTCTAAAATTCCATTATCAACAGAGTAAATTTCTCTTTTATTCGATTCTGTGATCAAAGTCAACCTATTTTTGATAACCCAGGTAGTATCCAAGATATTTCCTCTCCTCAGTCCACTTTTGTACTTATTCATTCCCCTATCCGTCTGGCTCACCATGCTACGGGTTTTGAAAATCAGTTCGTTAACCCCTTTCCGTACCAATAATTCCCAGGTCACCTGCCAAATCAGCCACTTCGCAGCAGCACGCAACCCACGCTACTTCACAGACCCACTCGAGTATCGTCCACAGCGATGGCTTCCATCCAAGCATCCGAAATACGAAGACAAACATCAGAACGATGATCCTAAGGCTTTTCTACCATTCAATCAAGAGCCTAGAATGTGTTCAGCCTCTGCAATTGCATGGACGCAGATGAAATTATATCTTGCGAAGGTCTTGTGGACATGTGATATAGAAGCGGGGCCAGGTCAAGAATTATCTTTCGATCGAGGTTTCTCTGTTTGCACTATGTGGAATAAACTACAGTTTTGGGTCGGATTTGTACCGGTGAAGAGTAAAGAGGGACGATGAGTCGGGCCTCGCAATGCAAATGTTCGCGGTAATATCTATTTATGAGTTATCTGTTAATATGTCCCACACTGTCAGTGCCGCCGCTCGGTGAGAGGCAAGAGGGATCGGGTCTTTGTGCATTACCCTCATATATCTCAGCATTTACCAGAAGAGGTCAACTTGTCTCTTGAGCAATCTTTTCGAAGAATTGGAGGTTTAAAGCCAATAAATTTTGTGGAACATGTCGCCCTGTGAACTTCAACAGAACTCCGTTGGAATTCCTCTTAGGAACAAAATTTCATTCAAATTCGTTTCCATCATTTCTCGCCACCGCTCCCTCCCCCTTTTCCCCTCACTTTTTTCCTCAGTTCCCCTTTTCAAGATTGCGACACCTCTACATCGCGTGCTTCCATTCTCCCCAACCGCCCAAATATACCCCTCCATAAGGATCGCTCAATCGGAACAATAGAATCCCGGTACGGTTGAAAGTAAGAGGTACATCTACTGCAGCCAAAATGTTTCGTTAATGTAGAGCTAATTTTTAGATGAATCAATGGACTTTCACTTGTAATTCACAATCACACATATTGCGCAAGAAGAGACGGTTTCGCAGCTAATTTCAGTTTTGTATTCACTAATTTGGAACCACTAAAAACCAAGAACTTCCAAGAAACCCTGTCAGGATTCAACAAATTACCAACGCCAGTGAAAGTCAATCCCAGATACCACGCTCCATAAGTTCCCATTGAATTATATTTAATCTTAACCTTAAGCGGCGGCAGCAACTTGTGCTGGAGCGACACCAACACGCTCCTTGGACAAGATGTCTACAAGAAGAGGATTTGGTCTGTTGTCCTTGCCGGCTGGGTAGACAGCTTGGTTCTTCTTGTAACGTTGAACGTTCTCAATGTACATGTCGAAGAGGTAAGAAGAATCCATTGGTCCTCCCTTGGCCTCAGGATGGAATTGTGTGGAGAAAATTGGACGGGTCTTGTGAATCATACCTATAGTCTGTCAGCTAGTGTTCAAGAAAGGATTTCAGAGAATATTTACCTTCGTTGGATCCATCGTTCAAGTTGACGAAGTATTCCTTGAAGTCGGATGGGAGAGTAGTCATGTCAACGGCATAACCGTGATTTTGACTGGTAATGTGACATTGACCGGTGGTCAAATCAAGAGCTGGGATGTTGTGGGCACGGTTTCCGTACTTGAGCTTGATGGTGCGGGCACCAGCTGCAAGAGCGAGCAATTGATGTCCAAGGCAGATACCGAAAACTGGTAGCTGGGATGACTCCATCAATCTAGTCAAATGGTAGACAGTCTCTTGGCAATGAGTTGGGTCACCAGGTCCGTTAGAGATGAAGACACCATCGAAATGGTGGGCAACCTTGTGAATTGGGAAATCGTAAGGGAAGACAGTAACGCTTGCGCCACGGCTGACCAAACTTCTGAGAATGTTCTCCTTAACACCGCAATCGATGACTGCGACGTGCATATCTCCATGGGCAGAGCTAACGTGGAATGGGGCTTTGGTGCTGACTTTTTTGACCAAGTTGATTTGTTCGGGATCAACGAAAGCCTCATCTTGATCGGCATCATATTCTTCTCCAATGGTGATTCGAGCCAAGGAAGAACCTTCCTCTCTCAAGTAGGTGACGATAGCTCTGGTATCAACACCAGAGATGGCTGGTACACCCTCACGGGCACACCAATCACTCAAACTTTCCACAGCGGTCCAATGACTGTACTTCTCAGCATAATCTGCGACAACCACGCCAACACATTGAATGTTTGGTGACTCGAAATATTTCAAAAGTCCATGCTCATCTCTGGCAGATGATGGAACACCATAGTTTCCGATCAAAGGTTGAGTGAAGACAAGAATTTGTCCACGGTAAGAGGGATCTGTCATGGATTCAGGGTAACCAACGAGGGATGTCGTGAACACGGCTTCACCAGAGATGTTGGATTTTGCGCCAAAAGATTTGCCGTGGAAGACTGGGCCATCCTGTCAAAGATTGTCAACTCAGAAATTTCTTCACACGTCAACCGATGTAACATACCCTGATTGTGAATGTAGCTCGGTCATGGGAGATTGGAGTAGCACGAGGACGGGTGTAGGGCATGGCACGACCAGCACTTCCTTCAACAGTAGCTAAGAATCTAGTTTGTTGTGCAACTCTTTGGATGCCATAGCCGGTTGGCTTAAAAGCTGCAGGCTTTACGAATCGGGAGAACATGATTGTGGTTGTTTGTATGTGTATAATTTAGTAGGCGGTAGGCTGGAGAAAGCTATTTCAGTTGACTGAAGCTTTCCAGATGTGATCTAGGAGACGGTTGTTAGAATTTTGGCCATGGTAAGTATTCGTTGGGAGGGGTCATGGATAGGGTTATGTGCGAACCTGAGATATAATCCTACAAGAACATGTTGTTAGTCAAATCGCTCTGAGCTGGTAAAGTTGCTGTAGACATTTCGATTGATAAAGAGTCACATCTTATGAACAAGAAAAGGAGAAGGTTTGGCTTCCAAATTCAAGCCCAAAGATAAGAGAATTGAGAATTCATGACGTTTGACTCATCCTCATCATCGTGATCATCATTCACATCCAGAGACAAAGAAATAGAACATACCTGAGAAGTAAAAACTGACGAGCGACCACTCATACGCGCGACTTTTCTATTCGTATCTGATAGATCAGTAGATGGAAGAGTTTTGAAGATGTTGAGATGTAAATGTTCAGAAGGAATTCAATGAAGTGGGAAGTTTAAAAATTGTGGAGTTGTGTTTTGGTGTGACAGATGGATAGCATAAAAGTCAAAAAGATTCATCAAGTGGAAAAAAGGTTGAATGCCGCTTTGTTCTTTTGGGCAATGAAGCTAATGTTGTGTTGGAATCATCTGATTGGTCAATTGTGTGGGTTTGCACTCATCAAAAAAAAGAAAAAAAAGAAGTGAAGATAGAAAAAGTTAAGCGAATCGTGATGGAAGTGATGGAAGTGGTGGAAGTGGTGGAAGAGAAGGAAAGATTAGAAAGCCGATGACGGACTTGATAGTGTGAAATGCTAAAAAGTAGTAGAACAGCCAATGAAGAACGCTAGAAGCTTCAATAATAAAACGCAATTCGATTTCTTAATACTTTGATACCAAGCTGGAATTGACCAATTAGATTATGGATCTCACATCTTATCTTTCCCCTTCTTGGTTTCTTTTGACAATCACATTGCAACAACGTAGATCCAGGAGGATGGACGATAAAAGCAGCTTCCCGTTTAGACCAAAAAGAGCTTCAACATTTTCTAGATTGATTGCATGAACATCAATCTGTGCGGAATAGGTATGTACGGATTGAGTATTACCTATAGCTAGGTAGGTAGGTAGGTACATATATGACTGAACTATTGATCATTGATAGCAGAATTATCTGTTGTGCTTTCTTCTTCTTCTTCTTCTTCTCCTCCTCCTTCTCCTCCTTCTCCTCCTCCCCCTTCCCCTTCCCAGTAATATGTGAAATCAAGCCAATCGCCACCATAATTCGAAAAGACCCCGTCACAAAATTCTACCTCATCATCCATCCATCCAATTGCGTAAACAAACACTTCCACGCTTCCGCATTTTCATACGGACTCTGTAGATCTATCAACAATAACATGCAGCCCCGAGAAAATTTGCAAAATCTTTACACTTTTTGCCCCATCTCTCATTCCACCACTCATTCATTGCTGAGCTGTACTCCGTCAAAGAAATCAGGGGCTGAGAGAAATGAACCCCGCCATGTGGTTGGGCGGAAGAGCAAAACGAATTAGGTCATGCGAATTACCAAATTCTTCGTTTCTCGGAGATTTCTTGGTCAATTGGATAAGAACACACTCCCTAGGTATCTGAGAAACATTAATCCGTCCGAGAAGAAATATTGTACTACCAAGAGTATGTACGTATACGTATAGCAGTGGTACAATATTGATATTATCTCGAGCACCCAACTAATCATAGGTGCTAGGTATTGAGAGTCACTTCGAGTATTTTTCTATCATTACAATCAAATCATCTTACAACTCGACGGGCGATAGCCCTTCTCATCTTCGGTGAAACTCTCTACTTGTGTATAGAGAACTTCACCTGCTAAAATCTTACTTCTCCTTTGCTTCTCAGTAACGTCTATCTTGATCTCGGGGTGGTCCTCTGTAGCTGTCATAAGATCCTCTATCATAACCTCTATCGTAGCCTCGATCACCTCCCCTACCTCCATACCCGCGACCACCACCCCCACCTCTACCTTGGAAACGTCCTGAACGCTGATTTCTCGGTCCCCGATGACCAGATGGAGGTCTGATACCAGAGAAAATTTCTTTTCCACGATCAACAAATCTGTCATGATCCTCAAATGTATATCGGTTGATGTCTTGCCCAGTATGACGTAGAGTATCCTTAGTGGTAATGGCCGCAATCGCATCTAGTCGCCTGTTGACTAATTCCTCTGATGCTGGTTGCCAGTACAGCGTCGGTTGTGTTGTTGTAGATTTAAAAAGCTCTGACAAGTTTCGCATAGGTGCAGCTCTTGGACCACCGAAGCTCCTAGGTCCAGATGGTGCTCCTTCAATACCCCTTGACGGCCCTGTCGGCGCAGAAAATGGAATTGATTGCTTTCTGGTAGACATCACTTGAGGATCCCCTGTAGCTTCCTGCAAGATAGCAGTAACTTGACGATCACCGTCATTTTCCATCTCCTCATAAACTACCTCCCACTTTTTTGTATTCCGCCCAGGGCCGGATGCTTGTTCTTGATCAATCCATTCTTTAACTTTTTCGTCTGGTATGAAATCCACCCACAATGCTTTGCGATTTGGCTCATCAGGCCAGACACGATCGTGCATTACGCTGCGAACTCTTGCTGCGGCAGAGAGTGTTTTGAATTGAACGAGCGCATGAGTGCGGACGCGGTCGATGTGAAAATGTAAAATCGCATCTGGATCTGGATCACTGCCAGGTGGAGTAGCTAACGTTGTGAGATAATCATGAAGTCG